CAGAGACAGTGAGAGCCGCGTACGACTACTAGTATTGGACACTAACATATAGTAAGCTCCGCTTACACTATCACTGTAACCTGTTTTTAATATATTTTTCTTACATCTAATCCGTGTTCCGTGTTTTACTTCTGTGGTCCCAACTTTGACCCCACATCAATATATATATATATATATATATATATATATATATATATATATATATATATATTTGTATGTATATGCATACATTTAGTATAGTCGAACACTATTTGTTTTGTTTTTGCGTTATGCTCCTTTGAAAAGTCTGTAAATACATTCTGTTTTTTTGGGGGATTTTTTTTTATCTATGAAGTTATTATTCGGATTTTCAATTCTCCGCGTAATTTAGTTAGTGAATACATTATGTATATTCACAAGACACCTTCATTATAACGCCCTGATTTAATAAAACCCCCATAAAGAAAAAAAAAAAAACAGTACCGAGCGCCCGAAGATTGCTTGTATAGTACGCCGGAAACTGTCTATATATTATATAAATGTGTACGTACAAATATTGGCGTACTCAGTTTCCGATTTCTTATTCTGAGCTGTTATCCATTTAATTAATCAGTTCTTTTATTCCTACGTTCCTTAGATTACAGTCTTATTTGTTCTAGCTTTTCATTTGAGACATTCGGACATGTTTGTCTATTAAGACCATCGTTCCTCTAGTGGAACACATTTTAAAATATATTTTTGGTAACAGACGAGCAATAATTGTATGGACAAGAACATATGTTATTGCAGAAATTTCCGCGAATATAATTACCAAAATTAATACCTGCTAGTGGAACGATGGTCAATAAAATATTACCAGCCTTTTTTGACCTGATTTGAAGAAAGGTTACGAACCGTGCTACTTTTCATCTAAACTGTAAAAAGTTCCATGCCGGATTCAGTCCCCGAAATCAATGTTCTGATGTTGGTTTATTGAAATATTCACGTTGTCATAACTTAAAATGTTCATAGCAGCTATAACCCAAAATGTTCATAGCAGCTTATATATATATATATATATATATATATATATATATATATATATATATATATATATTATTTATTTAAAAATATGATTCCAACTCGCGACATAAGAGGTCTCATGTTTCAAAACAAGAGCCGAAAACTTCAATATAATTATTTGAATTAAATTGAGTTAAAGTAAGCTCTGTTCCATCTTCAATCGAAATTTTTTTGGGAATAACGTATTTCTGAAATTTACGTGTTTTAATAATTGAAATCAGAATTTCCATGGTAACAGCTAGGGCGAATTGTTTAAATTGGGTAGGCGTGTGTTGGGTGTTAATAATAAGTATCAGTATAGAGTTATTTTCGTAGATATCAAGTCAGGGAAAGGTGGGGGTGTCTAAATTTTAAACGGAAGATGTATTAACCCTCGTCTCGTTCGCGTGTCTATGGAGATTTATTTATTTTTTTTATTTTTTATGAAAGGGATTTGTGCATATAAAAAAAAACTGCCGTTTTTTGACGACTTCATAAAGGGTTATCTTTTTTGTAGGGTATTTAAACTATTTATTTGGGCTATGGATTATGAAAGTTATTATATTGTATGCTTGTTTTTATATATATATATATATATAATATTATATTGTATGCTTGTTTTATATATATATATATATATATATATATATATATATATATATATATAATCAATGCGTATTATAAAGGAGACTTTTTTTTTTCAGATTTAATAACCCAAATTTAGATTGCGCATTATACACTAATAATTACGATAAATTTCTGTCTATGTGCTACTAGCGTTCACCGTGTTGATTTGAATTCGGGTTGAAACCAGAATCTCGAATACGAATTTTCTCTACTTGGATTCATTGCTTGCTATGAACCAGTTGGAAAGCGGAACAACGAGGAAGCCTTTAACCAGGATCAAAGCGTGGGATCTGATTACCTTTTGATCAATGGTCAAGGAACCTGTTTTCGGGAATTCCAACCCTGCTTCAACGCTCCATTCATTGCGCTGAAATTGGGCAGGTCGGTGTGATACATTGCGTAACACCGTGCCACTGTGGGGGAGTGAGCAAATAACGCTTCTTAGACTTTGGAGCTGAGATCAAAGCATAGTATCTGTCCTAGGCCACAGGTATGCGTATGGGCCCTCCACATAAAAAAAAACCCCTATGACCCGTCTTATTACCATGGGTAGGCAAGGCAAAAGCGTAGTATGTTTTCTTCTTTGAACTATGGAAAACCCTAGTTTCTGGGATTCCAACTGTGTGATTACCTTCCGCGTTGCTCTAAACATGTAAAGTTATTGGATGCTGATTCCAATGCAACATTGACCGCGCGAACTGGGATGCTATTTTTGCATTTGATTGTACGTGTAGAAAAATCACGTGGTAGAGATAAACACTCAGTTGTGGAGCAAGCTAAGTGAATCATCCAACCTTTAGAAAGAGAGCTATTTATGGTGCCATGGAGCATCTCATTGTGCTAAAGTGGGATAGTCCATTGCTTGGGCTGTGATTGGCTGCTGGTACCTGAGTGGAGGTATTTCTATATAAATACCAGCTTGATTCATCAGTTAGTTTGCAGGGTTTGTATTAAGTTACAACCTGCTTTATTTTTGTCTGCCAGCTGGACGTTAGCTGGGACCTTTACGCCGGTAAGTGCTGTTTATTATTGTTATTACGAATGCTTAAAAGTAAAGCGAGCTTGTGCCACTTCGTACCACACGCTTGGTGGTACGTATACAAACATTTCACTAGTTAGTTGTCTAACAGACTAAGTTTCTTACTATTACTATAAGCTAGCTGCTTATTTTATTTTAACAAATCTTAGTTTAGATTGGCATTCTAATGAGGTATCCCCAAGTATAGGACTTAGTACAATAGTAAACTGGTTTGCAAAAAAAAAAAAAAAAAGAAAAAGAAAAATGTTATCAAGCTATCTTTACATCCCACAAACCCAAGAAAAAGGGAGTGAGCAATAACTGAGCTTTACTAAAAAATAGTAGCCGACGCATCCGTAGATACTAGCACATTGAAAATAATATACCCCATAAGTTAAATAAAGGGTTCAGTTCAAGATTCCTAGGAGGTTATCCTGATCAATAAGCACCTGATGAAGGCCAAAGAGCATAACAACCGAAACCTTATGATAATAACAAGAGAGACGAGGATAATAGCCGACATGTAAATAATGGCTCCTGTCACCCCATTTCATTTCACCCCAAGCAAAGAGATAATATTACTAGGATGCAAGGTGTTCTTTTTCTTATGTGCCATGTAACTTGCAACTTCCAACAAGTTATTCCTCCCTGCCATATCCCACAGACCACATTCTGTCATCCACCTGCTCAAGCCCGCCAGGAATGTCACGCGCTTCTTTCTCTTGTCTCGCTTTCCCTCTATTCGACCCGTGAGTATCAGATTCTCAAAGCCCTCTTTCCTCATTATGGGTCCCAGACACTTCAGCTGCCTCATCCTGGTGTTAATCCTCCTCCTTGTTTTCACCCTCTCTAAGACATCATCGTTGCTCTCACGCTCGGTCCACGATATCCTCAGCATCCTTCTGTAGAACAACATCTACTTGGCCTTCATTCCGGAGGAAATCGTACAGCATTCGCTGCCGTAAAGAAGGATAGATGTCACGTAGCAGCTCAGTATTCTTTTCTTTGTTACCAAAGAAATCCGCCTGTCTCGCAATACTTTGCCTAAGTTTTGGAATGCGTCCTTGGCCATCCCAATACGTCTACGGACCTCAGTGTCGCATTTACCGTCCTCTATCAATACGCTTCCCAGATATTTAAACTTCTGCTTGATTCTAGTGGCCTGCAAATAGCATTTCGGGTACATCCTCTTATTGATGTCCATGCATTCCGTCTTGTAATTTATGCTTTGTCCTTTCATCTTCATCTGGAAGTGAGAGAAAATTAGAAGACTTTAGTGATGAGAAAGGACAATAAAAGAACAATGATCAGGTAAACACAATATGGCGATTGGCATTGCATTTAAATTTTTGGAGGTGGCAGAGAAATCAAGAGCTCGGTAAGTAGGCGAGAAGTGCGAGAAAATAAACTATTAGAATAGAACATAGATCTAGCTCTTTCAACAGTAAAATGGTGAGACCTAGTTACCAATACAGTAGTACGCTTAAACTCACGGGGTCGAGGTACTAAAGAGAAGAACTTATCAGAATAATTGCCATAAAAAATATTTTTAGAAAAGACAGAGAGATGCCACGTCACGTAGGTAAGAAAGTATCTGAAGTCGAGATTCCAGGCCAGGGGAGATTATATTACCGACTCTTCTTTTAATTTTTTCAAGAATCTCCAGATATATAGAAGGGACATCAAACTAAATACGGCAGCAATATTCCATACACGGACGAATGGTAGATTTATATATGTGCCAGATAGATTCTGACCAGAAAGATTGTCTGGCACGATACAGTGAACCATATGTTCTAGCACTCTACCAGAAATTCAGAGAGAAACTAATATTTAGACCAATAATGTTTCTCGGGATTAACATGGCTACAAACTACAGACTATTGCAATGAATGGAACAGCAAGTCGTTTCTTTTTCAATAGAAAAAAAACCCTGTTTTTAAACACCCCAAAATAAAACCTATTTCTGGAATAAAGTCAGAGCAGAAATCTCGAGACTATCAAAAAGTGGGGAAAATTGAAAAGCAGAAGATTCAGGGAGATGCGGGAAAAAAAAAGGTTAAAACAGAGCAATATATAAATAACTTTATATTTGGCAAAGGACCGTGTATTAAAACTTTGTGCCTTATCTCCGAACGCAGAACGCAACTTCTTAAAAAATAATCTTATCTGTAATTACTTGACAGGATTCTCTGCTATCAGCGATTCGTGCGCGGCGGGTGTTGGTGGAGGAAAAAGCGACAAGGTTTTTCTATGGCTTCGGATTTTGGAAAAATTGAAATAATTATAATAGGTTCTAAGAAGGTATTGGCACGTCCAAATAATGATGTTTGGAATGTCTTTCTTCGAGAAACTAGGAGAATCATTCTTTTCCAATTTCAGCGCCACCACCAACTTTGTGGGCAGCTGTGGAGAATTATATTCGGTATTATTTCGAAATGGAAAATAAAAGATAATTAAAAAGAAACAAAACAAAACTATATTCTATATATTAATGTTAAATTTAGATATTTCTGATTGTATATTTATTAACATGGCTTGACAGCTTTTATTTTTGTGCGTGTGTAGCCAATTTTCAGTCTAGAGTTAATCATTGGCCATTAGCACTGCTTACAAATACGTTGATTAGTAGTTAATTGCAAAAGACGTTTAAAGATAATGGAAACATAATTTACAAAGCGGTTTAAGTCAGCACTCAATGTTACTGGTTTTGAAACGATCTTGAACGTGATAGGGGGAGGTTGAAATCGCTCCAACATGGAATTACTACGAAACGACATAGCTTAGAATTACTACTACTACTACTACTACTACTTGCAGACAATATAACTCAGAATATAAACGCAGAAAATAAACTAAAAACGAACCCCTTGAAAATTGCTAATGAATTAGCCGAAAGCGCTCGTGACAATAATCACTACTCACAGTTTCTACACTCTCTTCGATGACGAGATCCGTAATCCATTGGGGTCGTAGGGGCACAATCTGTACTGCAACTGCAGAGAGAATGGCGTTTCTCCGGGCAAGATAGCCTGACGGAGCCCAAACTTATCCATGATGGTTTTGAAATTAGAGTTTTTCCATCTAGACCAGTTGCCAATACAGACTATAAGACCCAGTCTGTCTCCATAACAGAGAGGGGGGGGGGTGGAAGATGAATTCATGCCTTTCCTAATGGTCTCAGCACATAAATGAATGCAATGAACTCAACTGAAATTCAAACTAGGCTCTCCGATTCCTGTCTGAGCCGCTATCTATTACTCCAACGTGCCTACACACCCTTAAAAGAAAAACTGTAAGAAAACTATAAAAGAAAAACCTGATTAAAACTTATGAGGTTTTCCTTGTCCTCAAAGAAACATGTAATTAGTAGCAATAGGTATATCCCGAAACACTGGCGATTTTTCTTCAGGATTACCGCAGATTTGTCTGAGTTGCATAAATCTGGGGTTTAAATAGCACGGTAGACTTGCCACTCTAACCTTGATTGTTAACCAGTCTAAGAGAAGGAAAAATGTTATATTCCTAGCTATAGTTTAAATAGCAGGATAGAATGGGTTCTCTAAGGGGTTACAGAGAGTGGGAGCAAGATTAAAGAGGCGTGATAGAGGAAAGGATGAAGATAAGGATGGGGAATAGATCAAGGCATCTGGATTGACACCGCATTTGAATAGTTGGAGATTATAGCTATCAGGGAAGCAAGTAAGAGAAAGGCGGTTCCACAGAGGCGAAAGTGCGAGTCATGAAACTATTGGGGAAGAAGAAACGACTACATTTAACAGTTTCGACAGTGAAAGGGTGGGACTGAGATGTCAGCCTAGTAGCACGCTTAAATTCATGCAGTTTGGAAACCAGCGAAAGTAGGTCGTCGGAGCAGTTACCGTGAAAGTATTTGTAGAAAAGACAGAAGAAGGCGACGGCATGTCTGTGAGAGAGCGACTGTAAACGAAATGCCAGATCAGGGACAACCACATTGCATATCCGTCTCTGGATTTTGTCGAGGACCTTAAGACGAACAACGGGGGTTCGAGACCATATATGACAGCAGTATTCCATGCAAGGGCGAATGGTTGATTTATGGATTTGAAGGATGGACTCAGGCGAGAAAAAACGTTTTGGCGCGACACAGAGAACCAACTTTCCTTGCGGTAGATGAAGCTATTGATTCAGTGTATTCGTTTCATGTGGTGAGACAGTTAACGTAGATGTTCTATCTGTCTAGACAGACCGGGCGAATGTGTTCGTCGAGAGAGGCTAAACATTTGCGGAAGGCATGTGACCGGGTTGCTTAGCCATTATGGCCTGCTTCTGATAGGAGACTTTAACGTAGAATCAGGTGTTGTTTCGGGTTTAAATCTCCGAAAGAGATTTCAATCGGAATTTGGCCTCGGCTCACTGGTTTCATAACGATAACCTTTACACTACCAGTACAGAATTTACTAATCTAACATTCTTCGTATTCTTCTCTGTGTCGTATACCTCCAGGAAGTTAACGATCATGGTCCTCCACAATTTCTTGTATTACTATATAAATAAAATATATTTTCATGTGTACACGAAGACAGCATCGAGATAAATTCACTTTTCAGTGTTTTAGTACATAAATACCCTTCTCCAAGAACGTAGGATAGAAAAAAATGGAGCCACCTCTTGCACATTTGTAACAGCAGCAATATTGTTCTAGAACAGTTACCCAGAAAATATAAAAATGTTTAACAGTAGTTTTTGTTAACAGTCGGTTATCCACATGAAAATCGGTTCCTGTACGATCAACGAAGTTAAGCAATATCGAGCGTGGTCAGAATCTAGATGGGTGACAATTTGGGAGTAAGTGCTCTTAGCGAGTGGGATAATGACTCAGAAATAGAGAGTTCCAATTCCCGTTGGTTTCGTTATATTCAGTTACACGCAAATACCCTTGAGGAAGGAATGAATCTACCTTTTCTCTCTTACCTATAGGTTAGTTAGTAAGGCTTATGTCATTAAACCATTATTATCCCCCAATCCAAAAATTATTACTATCTAAAACAAAAAAAAAAGAAAGAAAGAAAAAGAGCTTAGCTTTAAACAATTTAGAGACGGTTGATAAACCTTAAAAACGGATCAGTCAAAAAATGTTTAGAACGAAATCATTCAGCGGGTTGATCATTGTAGCAAAGTAAGGCAAACGTATTGATTATCAGCGTCCAAAGAACGAAAAAATTAAGGGGATAATGAAAGAAGAGGGTCAAACTTTCGGCTGAGCTTTCACCAAAACCGCCATGTCAATAATCAATGAGTAACATAAATGTTGTGGATTCCGGGGATGGAATCCTGCACAAACAACGCCAGTAATTGAAATAGAAAAATATGTGTATTAAACGTAAGAATACAAACTTGAAATGAAGATTAGTAGTCTAGGAATGCGGGTTAGTAGTCTCTGTAAGTGAAGCCGTAATTATCTCTCTTTCTGGACTCTCGTATAACTCTGGGTGAACACCCTGTCTCGACGTTTTTCTCAGGCTATCTCTCCGTAGTATAAGTATACTTTGGACGAGTCCATCTTGTGTACAAGGGGCGAGCCCTACAATAATAAACTACCAAAATTCATCCCTGTTTCAGGTTAATCATACTTATTATAAAACCTAGGTTGTG